AAAGCCTTGATAGAGTAGATACAAGGCCTTTTTATCTCTCTTCCTTGAATCTTTTAACGCCGTCTTCTGAGCATCATTTAAATTTTCTTCATCTGCGAGAGTAGCGGGCTCGTCATATCCTCGATCCACTAACTCCCACAAATCTTGTGAAGCTAGTAGGACTTGCATTTGAATACTCCAATTTTCATAGTTCTCCTTGCTGAGTTTTGGAAACTAGGCCTGAAAGAAGTTGCTTGTGTTGGCCATTGGTTGTCTTTAAAAAACTGCAAATTTTCAGGATGAAATTTGCAAATTTTGACCGTACAGATGTGTCCGGAATACTCCAAATGGTTGTAAAGTACTATTGGATCACCAAAAACAGACTCCGAATGGCTCAGATCAAGCCAAAACAAATTGAACGGTTCAGATCCGCGACTGCACCTTAGCCGCGTCACACTGGATTAATCCTCCGTGTGTTGATGTCAGCGGCTCAGTCAACGGGTCAATCAACGCGGCTTGATTAGCGGCGCAACTCAGGCTCGGCGCGGTCAGCGGCTCAGGTCAACGACAGCTCAGCTCGGTCAGCGGCTCGGTCAACGTCAACTCAACTCGACTTGGTCAAAGCTGGTCAGCGACTCAGATGACGTCAGGCTCTGGCGCGCGTGTGGCGCGTGCGGCGCGTGCTTGCGAATTGGATGACGTGTCTTCTTCCTCTGGCAGCGCGTGTGGCGCGTGGGCGAGTGGGCGCGCGTCAGAACGGCGTCAGGCGGCACGTGTGGGCCGTCCAATCTGATTTTTCGACGCGGTTTTCACGGTTGTGCTTGTCTCGTCGGGAGCTTCAATCTGATGTGATAAAAAATGGATTTCGACCACTTTGATTTCTGGGCAATTTTTGAAAACACACTCTGGTGAAAATTTTGCAAAATGTCTGCAAATTCAAGCTACCTTCGACTCTGATACCACTGTTGGTGGGAATGGGGTGCAAACCACTGTTGATGATTCACAATGAGAGGTTTAAAACTGAACCAAACTGAAATTCAATTCACTCAAAATAAATTCTGAAAAACAAACAGAGCACTCTTGCTCTTCTTTCTCCCACACTCTCATCTATATCTGATACACCACACACAGCTATATATATAGATAAACTAGTAGTGTGAACATATTTATTGCAGGTACAACTATCAGTGTGAATGCATTTAATGCGCATACAGATATAAACCACCGCATTGAATGCAACAACCAATGCATTGAATGCAGCCTCTAATCAAGATTACTTCACAACCCAATCTGATTTTTCGACGCGGTTTTCACGGTTGTGCTTGTCTCGTCGGGAGCTTCAATCTGATGTGATAAAAAATGGATTTCGACCACTTTGATTTCTGGGCAATTTTTGAAAACACACTCTGGTGAAAATTTTGCAAAATGTCTGCAAATTCAAGCTACCTTCGACTCTGATACCACTGTTGGTGGGAATGGGGTGCAAACCACTGTTGATGATTCACAATGAGAGGTTTAAAACTGAACCAAACTGAAATTCAATTCACTCAAAATAAATTCTGAAAAACAAACAGAGCACTCTTGCTCTTCTTTCTCCCACACTCTCATCTATATCGGATACACCACACACAGCTATATATAGAGATAAACTAGTAGTGTGAACATATTTATTGCAGATACAACTATCAGTGTGAATGCATTTAATGCGTATACAGATATAAACCACCGCATTGAATGCAGCAACCAACGCAATGAATGCAGCCTCTAATCAAGATTACTTCACAAGAAACCTGACCAGATCGGGTTGAAAGAAAACCCATCTGATTCCGACCATTATGTTGTTTGAAACCGCACAAATTGGGTTTCTCGGTTTGTCGGTCAGATTGAGTGAAACCGTATAGCAAAGCAAGTGCATCTACTCAACCAAAAAAAACAAAAAACAATTACAGAGGTAACAAACCTGTATCAAATATCTCACAAAGATGCAATTTCAAAAATCATCTCATTTGGGTTAGTGTCTAATTACATCTCATCAAAAAGTGATTTAGAAAAAAACAATGGTGAATTTTAGGAGTGAATCGGTGATAAAATGATGAGATAGATGGAGAAGGAGATACAAGAGCAGAATTGGTTTCATCACCATATACACCATCGCCGCTATCGTAACAAATTTGAGCACCATCGTTAGTCTTTCGAATCTGAGCACCTTCGTCATCATCTCAAATCTGAACACCATCGTTAGAAGGAGATTAAAGGGAAAAAGGGCTTCTCCAAGGAAGATGAGAGGGTAAGAGTATGGGCATCTATAATAGAGGGTGAGAAGGTGGGAGCTATGAAGCACGAACACAGACACCGACACCGACAAGAGACATGGCAATTTTTAAAAAATGGGGACACAGACACGGACACGGTGGGAGGACACGGCGAATTTTTTTTATTTTTTATATATTTTTATGTATTATGTAGATTCATATTACATTCATCCTAAATCAAAATTAACAAACACTAACATAGTAACATTAATTCAATAAATATAACCACTGCATTTAAACAAATTAATAGATCATCCATTTACAAAAAAGTCATAATAAACAATAACAAGAACTAAGACGAGAAGGGAAAAAACATTCAACATACAAAAACATTCTTCACAAAAGCACTAAATAAGAGAGGCAAAAAAAAAATTTGAGCTCCGCCGTGTCCCATGCCGTGTCCCCTACAAAAAAATTATTAAATTAAAGGGGCACGCCATCTGGCTTGTCCCATACATGTCCCTAGAGTGTCCGCGTGTCGGACACCGCCATGGCACCGATTTTGGAGTGTCTATGCTTCATAGGATGGGAGTATGAGAGTATGTGAGGGAGATTAAAGGGTGAGAGAGATAATGTGAAAGTATGAAGAATGGAGGTGATAAGGCTTAGAGTCTTGAGAAAGATAAAAAGGACTCAGATTTTTTTAAAGATAGATGTAATCAATGATTATGTGTAAAAATAGTTTACCCCCCCAAAAAAAATAAAAAATAAAATAAAATGTGTAAAAGTACGAGGGATGGAAGAGATAAAGGCTTGGAGTCTTTGGGAAGATAAAAGCTCAAAGATAAGACTGAGATTTTTGGAAATATAAAACGCAATCAATGCATAAATAGATGGCAACCTCAGCACAATGAATAATTGTCGGTTCAGTTCGGGTTTGACGGATCCTCCACTACAACACCCGTGACTCAACCGTTTAAGTCACAGATTTGTTGATTCCAACTCGATTCCGACCGTGAAGGATTCAAAACCGCCCGTGACACCTTCGGATTGGTCACTTTGGTTCGGTTTTTTCATGTGGTTCAGTTATTTGAACAGCCCTAGTTGATCCCATGAATGACTTTACAGTTCTCGTTTGAAATTGTTCATATACCATGGTTCATTACTTAGTGTATTATGATTGTTTGGCTTTGTAAAATTATTAGAATGTGCCTATGAAAATTCCAATATAATGGTGATGTCTTATCATTATTGACATGCAAACATAATTAATCTCAATGAAAATATAGAATTTATTGAATTGTTAGTTACATTTGACATGTAGGGTTCATCCTCCATGTGTTTCTTTACTATTGGTTGGTGATATCACATCTCAATAATTACGTGCCATGACTATTATATTGAATTTTTACACGTTTTGTATAAAAATTTACTTTATCATTATATAATTTATTTTAAAACTTTATATCCATGACTTTTTTTTAATATTGCCCATGATACACTAATTACAAATAACATTCACTTTGTTTGATTTGAGTTTTCTAAAAACACTTTTCAAAAAATTTTACTTTTTACTTTCCGTATTTTTTATTTTTACTAAATTTTTTTAATATTTTAAGCAATTTTTTTTAATTTTTAGACACACCCAACATAAATACACTTAAAAAGTATAATTTTTGAGAAAAAAAATCTTTAAAAAATATTAATACCAAAAATACAAAAAAATATTAAAAAATAGTACATTAGGCAAACATAAAGAAAATATTTTAAATAAAAAAAAATTAAAAATATTATTTAAAGTGAAATGTCAATGACATTTTTAAAATTATAAGAATAATAATAATTGTTTTGATTGAAAATAAACTACGATTATTATCTATGAAAATTCCAATATAATGGTGATGTCTACCATTATTGACATGCAAACATAATTAATCTCGATGAAAATGTAGGGTTCATCCTCCATGTGTTTCTTTACAATTGGTTGGTGATATCACATGTCAATAATTACGTGACATGACTATTATATTGAATTTTTACACGTTTTGTATAAAAATTTACTTTATCATTATATAATTTATTTTAAAACTTTATATCCATGACTTATTTCCAAAAAACTCGACAACTTTTCCTACATCCAAGTCCTAATCAGTTTGCTTGGTTTTTCTTTTCCAAAAACATTTTTTAAAAAATTTGACTTTCTTATTTTTCATATTTTTTTGTTTTTATTGATTTTTTTAATATTTTAAGCATTTTTTTTTTTACTTTTTAGACATATCTAACATAAATATACTTAAAAAGTAAAACAATTGTGAAAAAAATCTTTTAAAAATTTACTAAATACCAAAAATATAAAAAAAAATTAAAAAAAAAAAGAATTCAATACATTTTTTTGTATTTTTATATATTTATTAATTTTTTACAATATTTTTTTACAAATATTTTATTTTTTTCGGATACATCTAAGTCAGATGCATCTAAAAAAGTAAAAAATGCTTAAAATTTTAAAAATATTCACTAAAAACAAAAAAATACGAAAAAAAAAAGAACTCAATTTTCAAAAAAATTAATTCAAAAAACTCAAACCAAACACACTGATTTTTATTTTATTTTTTTAATCTTTCTTGAAGTCAATCGTAAAAATTTATGTGAAATATTTTTGTAAACATTTTCAATGTTGTAATCAATGAGTACCCCCTCTGATTTAATTTCTTGGCTCCGCCACTGCATGCATGCATAGTAGTTATATAATATGTAGACCTTACGTACTTGATTCACATGTATCGCTTTTCTAACTGCATCATCGTTCAGCCATGCTGTCGCTATTGTATCATCCTACAATATTCACAATATATATTTTACTTATTAGATTGCTTTGCTACATAACAAAGCAGATAAATATGAAATAAAACACAAAATTAATTCCAAAATTCAAATTTGACCACCATTTAAAAACCTATCCAATTTTTGGTTTTTAAAATCAAGCTATTATCCATGCTAAAAAACCTTCATGACACTACTAATGTAAACTGTTTTGAGTAAGTTAATTAATAAATTAATTACCACGCATAGAACGCCACGGCCAGCCTGTTTCATTAACTCGGGCCACATAGGAATAATTCCAGCTCTTACTGGTGCTCGAAAAGGCCATGCACGACCATAGATCCGTTTTCTAACAGCAAGAGGCCTCTCTGCCACCCCTAATTGCTTGAAACTTAATGGTATGGTACTTGTATTTGTGTTTTTGTTTTCATTTATATCTTCTTTTGTTGTCGGGCGATGGTAGCAGGGCTCCAGGATGTCGTACCTATTTAGACCACTTACCTCCTGGTAAGCATCAGCAAAAAAAGAGAGTTAATTACATTAATGGTCCTCAAAGTACATGTTTTGTTACATTTTAGTACCCAATCTTTTAATTGTTTCACTCTGATCCCCAAACTTTGCAATCAGTTACACGGCATCAGCACTGTTCAAAATCAATAATGGGAGGTGTATTTTTGAGACTTTGCAAGAAGCATCAACAAAATCAAAATGACCAAATACAAACATGGTCTAAAAGTATACATTTTAGTACCCAATCTTTTAATTGTTCCACTCTAATACCCAAACTTTGCAATCAGTTACATGGCATCAGCACTGTTCAAAATCAATAATGGGAGGGGTATTTTGAGATTTTGCAAGAGGCATCAACAAAATCAAAATGACCAAATACAAACATGGTCTAAAAGTATGCATTTTGTAGCATATTAGTTCCTAAAATATGCATTTTGTTTCAATTTAATCTCTCAAGAATGCACTTTCTTGCATTTTAACCTTTAAACTTTTTGTTTTGTTGCATTTCTTTTTCTTTTTCTTTTTTGAATAATGAAAATACCTCACATCCCGCTATTGATTTTGAATGGTGCTAATGCTAGGGACTAAAATGGAACAATTAGAAGATTAGGTACTCAAATGTAACATAACACATACTTTGGGGACCATTTAAGTTATTAGTTCAATGACAACAAAAAAGAAGTAAAACCTAGTTAGCTTGTGCACATAATTTTGCAACCACCTTTGTTGCTTTCTATGAGGAAAAAAAAGTATATATATATAGACGTGACACCTTTTACTTTCAGATCCAGTAACTGACTGCTAATCTCTGTGTTTCAAATTTAACCCAACTTTTTATTCATCAAACTCTCAAAAGTTTAGATGTGTAACTGCAAACACATTGTGATTGTAGTCACCACTAGTGTGTATATATACGGAAATATAAATTGTAAAATTCTAGTCTAATATGCTTGATCTGTCGATTTCATATAAAAATAAATAAATAAATAAAGTTGAAAAGAAACATACAAATAAACCAAAACCACCTTGCCTGGTCAATTTTATTAAGCACAATGTTGCAGTTATTGTTTGGTGGGTCATAGTAGTTTCCTTTGCAGGTGGTCACAGCTTCCTACAACATAAAACAACTCAAAAAAAAACATGCACATTCAAACAATTTATGCTAAAAATAAAAAAGAAAATTAAAGGAGAACAAAAACTGTATTACAAATGGTTAAAATTTTATAAGAAAGAAAATTCTCTCCAATCCAGCAATTAGAAATTAGAGGGTCTAGTTTATGGGATGTGGGTCCATTTTGGGTTCACCTCAGTATTTTGAATCAATTTATCTTTTAGTGTCCACCAAATAAATTATCCATATAAAAACTTTAGTTGATCGGATATTGATGGTTACATAATTGAATTACATTTGTTTTTTAAAAAAATAGACGGTTTATTTTTGAAATTATACCTATTGGATTTCTTTATTTGAAGACAATTGTCATTCAATTATTTGGAGACTGCACTGATGTCAAATCAACTTTAATTTTTTTTTCTTAAATGATCTACTCAAAAAACACTAAAAAATAAATGGTCGAGATCACCTAAATGAACCCAGAATGGATCCACAACCCATGAAATATTAGTTTGAAGTTTGAACAATATATACATTCCATTCAAACCAACCTCATAGATATCATCAGAGATAAGGGCCATTCCATGTGCAAATGGGACAAGAGAATTGCCATCATATTTATAATCTGTGGCTGCATTGCCTATCATGTACCCCTACATACATACATACATACATACATACAACAATTAATGATTTTTTTTAGAAGGCTAATGCTACAACACCACACAGCATAATCATATAAATAGGCATCAATTATTAATTAACGTACCTTAAAATTGATGATAGGGTTCACTCCATCTTTGATTCCTGCATTAAAAATTAATCCTAGTATTTTACACCCAACCCGCAAAGCCAAAATATATATATTAGTACTTAAAAATGTCACACTTTTAAGCATAATAAAATACCTTTCGCTACTTGAGAAGCAAGAGTTGGCACGTAAATGCCGGCATAGCAACCCATGAAATATTAGTTTGAAGTTTGAACAATATATACATTCCATTCAAACCAACCTCATAGATATCATCAGAGATAAGGGCCATTCCATGTGCAAATGGGACAAGAGAATTGCCATCATATTTATAATCTGTGGCTGCATTGCCTATCATGTACCCCTACATACATACATACATACATACAACAATTAATGATTTTTTTTAGGGCAAATTACATATACCCCTCGAGGTTTGGTTAAATTACAAATACCCCCTGAGGTTTGAGAAATTACAAATTCCCCCCTGAATGTTATATTTGCATAACAAATTAGGGAGTAATTTGTTATGAAATTTAAACATCAGGGGGCAAATTGTTATGAAAATACAAACCTTAGGGGGCGGGATGTAATTTCCGAAACCTCAGGGAGATATCTGTAATTTAGCCAAACCTCAAGGGAGGTATATGTAATTTGCCCTTTTTTTTAGAAGGCTAATGCTACAACACCACACAGCTTAATCATATAAATAGGCATCAATTATTAATTAACGTACCTTAAAATTGATGATAGGGTTCACTCCATCTTTGATTCCTGCATTAAAAATTAATCCTAGTATTTTACACCCAACCCGCAAAGCCAAAATATATATATTAGTACTTAAAAATGTCACACTTTTAAGCATAATAAAATACCTTTCGCTACTTGAGAAGCAAGAGTTGGCACGTAAATGCCGGCATAGGACTCTCCTGCGATATAAAATGGATTGGAAACAAATTCCGGGTATATATTGAACCACTGTGAAGAAAACATAGTTAAAGTTAATTCAGAAAACCACTATGTTTGGTTCTATTTTTCTAAAAACAGTTTTCAGAAAATTCTACTTTCTTATTTTCCGTGTTTTTTTGTTTTTACTAAATTTTTTTAATATTTTATGCAAATTTTTTATTTTTTAGACACACCTAACATAAATACACCTAAAAAGTAAAAAAATTGTAAAAAAAATCTTTTAAAAATTCACTAAATACCATAAATACAAAAAAAATACAAGAATTCAGTACATTTTTTGTATTTTTATGTATTTCTTAATTTTTTAAAATATTTTTTCACATTTTTTTTACTTTTTAGATACATCTAAGTAAGGTACATCTAAAAAAGTAAAAAAAAAAATGTTTAAAATTTTAAAAATATTCACTAAAAACAAAAAAACACGAAAACCAAAAAATTCAGTTTTCAAAAAACTTAATCTAGAAAACTCAAACCAAACACCCTAAATATAATCAATAATCTTGCAAAATTTCAAACTGAAGTTCAAAAGTTTGGAAAATGATAAGATGAATTAAATTCATAAACAAATTCTAAATATTTGATCTAACCGTGTATAATTAAAGATTTATTACAAGTTTACGACAGTCAGTATTGTCAAACGATTGTCAATCTTTTTTTCTTCTTTTTTTCCCTTTATCTTGAATTTGTATGAACATTGAATTGGACTTAATTTGGAGAATTGGCTTGAAGTTATCACAATTTCCAACTTAATTAGAATTAATTACCTCAAGTAGAAAATTGTGAGTATCAATGGCAGTCTGAAAGTCTCCTGTAACATAATTTGTCGTGTCTTTAGAGTAAGAGAATCCAACACCAGCAGGGGAGTCCAAATATATGATGTTCGAAACCTGCAGGGACAAAAATTGAAAATTATATATGTGAGATTCAAGTTTTTCTCATCTAAAAATGGAAAATTTATAGACTTTAGGGTGTATTAATTAAAGGGCAAATTACATATACACCCCTCCAGGTTTGACAAAATTACAGATACCCCCTGAGGTTTGAGAAATTACGAATTCCCCCCTGAATGCTATATTTGCATAAGAAATTAGGGGGTAATTTGTTATGAAATATAAACCTCAGGGGGTAAACTGTTATGAAAATACAAACCTCGGGGGGCGGGATGTAATTTCCGAAACCTCAGGGGGATATCTGTAATTTAACCAAACCTGGAGGGGTGTATATGTAATTTGCCCTTAATTAAACTATAAAGTAATTAACAAACAAAAAATTAATCAGAACCAAAAGTTTGGAGGGTGGCCTAACCGCTGCCTTCTTAGAGATGAATTATAAATTACTTCACTTAATATAATCTTTTAATTAAGAGGCAAATACAATATAAAGAGAGACATAAGATTTATTAATTCTAATTATTTTATAATATAAATATAAATCAAAACAAAACAAAACAAAACAAAAAAGCAATTTAAGTTGACAACCTTAGACCAGCTGTATGGATTGAGATGCAATTTAGGCAGGCTTCCTGTAGGTTTTCCAGCGTCAAAATTGAATGGTCCTGCACAGATCAAATAGTTACATATTTATATGGGGTTAATTGTTAATTATAATAATAATAACCCTAGACAGAGAGAGTTTAAATATGGATAACAAATTAAACCCTAATAATCGCACAACATAGAAACACAGAAGAGAGGAGTCGTCATTGATCCCCCCCACCTTGTTCGTTAGTCGTTAGCCTACTATCTACTCTCTTCTCTCTACATCAAATATATATACAGGAATGAGAAGACGGAAGCGGCGCTGGAGTTAGGCAGGAGTAGAAATGGGTGGGAGGGGTTTTATTCTCTTGGTTTAAATTTGTGTATAAATTTGATTTAATTTTTTTTGATTAAATGTTTTTAAAATTGAATTTTTTAATTTACATGTTTTTTTTTAGTGAATGTTTTTAAAATTTTAAATTTTTATTTTTTTATTTTTTTAGATACACTTTACATAGATATATCTTGACTTGTATAAGCCCATAAAAACCATGAATCACTATGAACAATTTAAGCCCATCACTTGGAGCCCAATACATAACCCAATTGGTGAGGTCCAGAACAGTTGGAATCCAATATGGCATAAAGAGCCAATGACATTCAGACACATGGCAGGTGAAGGACAAGCCACATCAGCAGACAAAGATCTGCAAAGTTATTGCCACTGCACATCACCATTAATGCAACCCATCACAGCATTTATTACAACAACACCTCTCCGTCGGAACAGGACCTCCTTACCCTGAACAAGATAAGCTACAACATAAACTTTCGGCGAGGAGGGCAGATTGGAAGGGACAGCGAAATGATTACCAAAGGATATAAGCAAACGTTGAAGACAAGAAGAAGGTTAAGCTTTCTATCTCTAATCTCTCTCTACACCCTACTTCTCCTTTTAACTTGCTCGTCGAAGAGTTCACTGGGGGATTACCCCGTTCCCCGTTGGACTTGTTTGCAAGTTATCCGGTGGGCTTGATCATTTGGACGTGGGCCTGAGTAGCTTGAACCTGTCCGATCCATTCACTAGAACAAACTGTATCATCAGTTGGCGCCGTCTGTGAGAAAGACTTTGCTCCGCGCGCCAGTTATGCTCATTGTTGCCGGAGACCCTATCCCAACAACCTTTTCCCCCTACTCATCAAAGTGTATGGTCACGACTAGATCCATGACTTCTCACAATAATGCTGCTGACCATCAGGCCGACCCCCCCAATCCAAACAACCCACCGCAGTATTTTATCGAGCTTACCAACAGCATTAACGGCATGGCCGAGCAAAACCAGGCCTTGATAAATGCTTTACTCCAAAGAAACCTTCCGATGCCTCCTCCACCGCCTCCAGATATTCCACCCAACCAAGAAAGAGTCCCGAGCCATACTGTTCCGCAACCCTATCCACCCAACTTGGAAGGTTTGCAACCTCCTCCCCCATATATAAATCTACCACCTCCACCCCCACACCCACGCCCACACCCGTCGGTCGTGACACCAGCCCCTGAAGGGGAAGCCAGCAGCGTCCAGCCCCCATTGCCTGACCATGGTGACAACATTCCCCTCTGGGACGCTGAACTCCGAGCAATGAAGCTCCAACTCCAAGGGGTCATGCAGAACATTCAGCATAAACCCTCTACCACGGCAAACTCACCATTTGTTGCCTCCATCCGGGACAAACCTCTGCCCGCCAAGTTCAAGATGCCCGCCATTGACTCTTTTGACGGTACGACGGACCCAGTCGACCATCTGGAGACCTACCGAACCCTCATGATCCTCCATGCCTTCCCTGACGAGATCATGTGTCAGGCTTTCCCCGTGACACTGAAGGGGTCAGCTCGACTGTGGTTCAGCCAGTTACTAGCAAACTCTGTCTCCACTTTCTAGCACCTCAGCGACTCCTTCCTTAGCCATTTCACTGGAGCCCAGCGCCAACGCCGCCCGGCAACCCAACTCTTCAACATCCGTCAGACCGAGGGGGAGTCGCTACACAGTTTCATTACCTGCTTCAACACCGAGGCCCTGCAAGTAGCGGAAAACGATGACAATGTCATCCTCACAACTTTCATGGTCGGACTACGATCGTCTGATTTCCTCTTCTTCCTCTCCAAAAACCCCCCGACCTCCATGGCAACCCTACTCTCCAAAGCCCAGAAATACATGAATGCTGAAGATTCATTAGCCGCTCGGCAGAATCCAATAGCTAAAAACCCGACCCCCAGAGAAAAGAGAAAAGACTTAGAATCCAGAAACGCTCAGTATAATAGTCAAACACCCCACTATACAGACTGACCTCCCCGTGCTGACCGGTCGGCACCAGCCCGACCTCCCAGTCGGTTCGAGCGGTACACCCCCCTTAATTCTCCCATGGAACAAGTTCTCAACCAGATCCAACGGGACTACCCCCTCAAATGGTCCCTACCTACACTGACCCCTTCCAATCGGAAAGACCAGTCCAAATATTGTCCTTTCCACCAGGACCATGGCCATAACACTGATGATTGCATCAACCTCAAGGATCAGGTTGAGACCCTAATACGTCAAGGGCGTCTCAGCCGGTTCACGGACACCTGCCCTTAGCAGAGGCAAAGAACCGAGCCCCTCAGAAACAACCGCCGGTACACCCCACCCTGGCAGCCAGCCCAACCTAACCAAGGCCATGATCGCCCTCCACAACAGCCTCGGCTGCCAGGTAATCCCCCTCCACCAGTTGGTGAAATCCGAGTCATTTCAGGTGGCCTTGCTTCTGGGGGACCATCTCGCTCGGCTCAAAAGGCAGAACTCAGAAAGATAAGGCAATGCTCAGACAAAGCAGTTGCCACGGTAGATCGACCCTCCAAACAGCCCAAGCAGTGGACAGAGCCCATCACCTTTACGGACGCCAACTGTACAGGCATCCGTTATCCTCATGATGACCCTCTCGTCATTTCTGCCCTCCTCTCCAACTATAAGGTCAGATGGGTTTTCATCGACAACGGCAGTTCTTCAGACCTCATATTCCTCAACTACTTCCGCCAGCTCAAGATTAGGGAGGAAAGTCTGTCCCCCCTCCAAACCCCTTTGGTCAGTTTCACTGGTGACCGGGTGACCTCCATCGGCTCCATCGATCTCCCCATCACCATCGGTGAATACCCACGGCAGGCTACCAAGTTGCTCACTTTCCTTGTGGTCGACTGTCTCTCTGCCTACAACATCATCCTTGGTCGCACCGCCCTCAACGCTTTCCAAGCTATCACTTCAACCTACCACCTCGCCATGAAGTTCCCTACCGACCTGGGCATCGGGACAGTAAGGGGAGAGCAGACCGTAGCTACGGAATGTTATGTCGCCTCGCTCAAGGAAGTCAAGCTGAAGGAGGCCATGATCATTGAAGGACTTGACGTCCGGGATGAAGACGAGCTGGTCAGAGGAGAACCGGTGGAGGAGCTCGTTGAGATTCTCATCGATCCCACCAACCCAATGAAAACTGCCAAGATCGGCAGCCAACTATCCCCCCAAGCTAAGGCCGACCTTACTGCCCTTCTGACCGAGCACAATGATGTATTTGCCTGGACTCATTCAGACATGCCAGGCATTGACCCCTCTTTCATAACTCACCGCCTCAGCATTGAACCTCATTTCCGACCTTACCGCCAGAAGCAGCGCATCTTTCATCCGGAGCGCAATACTCGTCTAGCCGCAGAGGTTGACAAGCTCCTTGAGGCCCAATTCATCAAAAACGTGGACTACCCTAAATGGTTGTCAAACCTTGGTCCTAGTCCGCAAGAACAATAGCAAATGGCGACTCTGTGTCGATTACTCTGACCTGAACCGAGCTTGCCCTAAAGACAGCTATCATCTTCCCCACATAGATCTGCTGGTCGACGCCACGGCCAGTCATCAAATGCTCAGCTTCATGGATGCTTTCTCTAGTTACAACAAATCCTGATGCACCCGTCCGATCGGGAACATATATCCTTCATTACCGACCGAGGTACCTACCACTACCGTGTGATGCCATTCGGATTGGAAAACGTTGAGGCCACCTACCAACAGTTGGTCAATGCCATTTTCCATCACCAGATAGGTCGGAATATGGAAGTATATGTCGACGACATGCTAGTCAAGAGCAAACTCTCCACTAATCATCTGACCAACCTGCGAGAGACCTTCGCCACCCTACGCAAGTACCAAATGAAACTCAACCCAGAGAAGTGCGCCTTCGGCGTAGGATCTGGGAAGTTTTTGGGTTTTATGGTCAGTCAGCGGGACATTGAAGCTAACCCTGAAAAGATCAAGGCCTTGATCGAGATGCAGTCACTCAGAACGGTTAAGGAGGTTCAAAGACTCACTGGCCGAGTTGCAGCCCTCAACCGCTTCATTTCCTGCGCAACGGATAAGTGCCTACCATTCTTCAAAGTTCTTCAGCAAACTTTTGAATGGACGGCTGAATCTGAAGAGGCTTTTCAACAGTTGAAGCAATGCATGGCCAATCCCCCCTTCTTTCACAGGCAATCACGGGCGAGCCCCTCTTCCTCTATTTAGTCGTATCAAGCACCGCTGTCAGTGTAGCTCTTATCAAGGAAGACGGCTCTGTCCAACAACCGGTCTACTACATCAGTCGGGCCCTTAGGGAAGCGGAGCAGAATACCCACTGTTAGAAAAATTGTCCTTGGCCTTGGTCACCGCCTCCAGACGACTCCGCCCTTACTTCCAAGCCTACTCCATAGTGGTCCTCACCGACCAACTCTTGAAGAAGGTCATGCAGCAACCAAAACTTTCCGGCAAACTCATGCAATGGTCAGTGGAACTCAACCAGTTTGACATCTCTTACCGGCCTCGAACAGGCAGGCTATCGCCGATTTCATCCTGGAATTCGCTAATCCTACCCCAACCATTGCCTCTCCACCCCCACCAGCTCCCATCGAGCCAGAAGACCCTCATTCTTTGACTCTCAACGACGACGGATCATCCCGCAGGGAAGGTAAGGGGGCAGGCCTCATCCTCACCGCCCCTGAGGGTGGTTATTTCAAATGTGCTCTCCGTTTC